GCCCACCTGAGGCCTGTCACTCTACACCATCCGTCACTCTTGGTGTTGTCTCCTGTGTTGCAATACAGTATGACATGTGCCCTGTGCAGAGGGTGGCCTTTTACTCATTCCAGAAAGAAATGGTCATCAAACACCTACTGCGTGCCAGTGCCATGCCCTGGGACACCGAGGGAGTAAAACCGCCACCCAGTCCCTGTGCTCACAGAGCTTCGCAGGGGAGGCAGGCCCGGTAAACACCCAGCAACAAATAATCACAAATTGGGCTAAGTGCTGTGGAGACAGGAAAGTGTAATTAGCCCGTGCTTACCTCTCGCTGCCCTCATTAGAGAATCCCTCCAGCTGCCCGACTTCCCCAGCACGCTGCTCGGCCAAAGACCTTGGTTCACCAAGTACCTGGCATAGCAAGGGGGTTGACAACAGTTTGAGGAACATTTGTTGTTCCTAGGAAAAAAAAATTAATTAAAAAAAACACCAGTCATCCACGTGGCTTGTACAACCTAATTTTACAAGACACTGAGGCCCAGAGAGGCCAAGCATTTGGCCCCAAACCACACAGCTGGTGGCCTCCTGTCTCCAGGTTTGGAGCTCTGCCACCACCCCCATGCTGCCCCCTAGTCTATCTGCACAGCCTCCAGGAATCTGCAGCCTCCTGGCCCATCTCAGATGCCTTCTTTGCAGATCAGCACTGTCCGATAGAGATGTACACTGTGATGGAAGGGTTCCATATTTGCGCTGACCAACATGGACACATGACAGCACTCAGCAGGGTCAGGGAAATGGGGCCAGTTTGTGGCTGTGGGGGTGGGAGCAGGGGCTGTGGAGAGAAGGAGGGTATGGAGGAGATGAGACACAGAGGAAGAAGGGCAGCAGGTGCCCTTGTTTCCTGTTCCAAGGACTCTTCTAGACTTTACCCCATAAGCCACAGGGAGCCACTGAAAGACTTTATGCAAAGTAATAAAATGCCTTGATTGCGGCCTCCCTGGGCCCCCCGGGCGGTCACTGCTCCTCGGAGCTCCACAGCACCTCCGACGCTCCGGTAATACTGGCTCTTGTCACTGTCCCCGTCCCACAGGAGCAGTTTCTCACCCACAGCGCTTGTTACTATTGTAGCCTGAACACCCTCCTCTCCCCTCCTGGACAACTCTTCCTCTTCCTTCAAACCTTTGCTCACTGGCCCTTCTGGAAAGGCATCCAGACACCCTCAGCGGGTTAGCTCCTCTCCAGTGTCTCCTGAGCCTGCCTGGCGGGTGGATGAGGCTTAACAGGCACTGTTCTAGTTTCTCCATCCTTGCCGTTAGTTCCCTCTTTCCTGGCCCTTGCCCTCCCCAAATCTATGCTCAGCTCTCCAGTCCCCAGCTCTGGAGCCCTCAGAATTCTTTTCAAACAGCCACGGGTTACTCCAAGGCCCTCAGCCCGCAGCCTAGGGCATCCTGTTCCCGGGACTTGGCCCCTGCGCAGGGTCTCCCTCCTGCTGAAAGGGCTGGTACAGAGAAAGGAGGCTCAAGTTTCTAGCCTCGTCAGGGAGAGGGCCCTGACCCAGTGAGCATAGATGTGGACGTGCATTTAGGAGACAGGAGGAGAGAGAGACAGGGACCTGAGCAGGCTCAGCTGGGAAGACTTCCTGAAGGAGTGGCCCTTCTCATCATGCCCTGGAGTGAGGCTAAGATTCTGTCCCTGCCTGTCTCCCCAAGAGCCACATCCCGCCCCAGAGCACCAGCCGGTCTGAGATGCGCTCACTGGAACATTCATCCAGCAACTATACATTGCCACCCTGTGTTATCACTGGCCTGCCGGCTCCACGAGCTGGGCTTCTGGCCAAACAAGGAGAAGGCACAGAGGAGGCGCTGAAACTTTGACACAGGGATGCCATTCCCATAAGGCCATCTAGCCTGGCTGCGGGGGCCACCCGGACGCCTCTCCACCCAGGGCTGAGAGGCGGAGAAGCCAGGACTCTGAGTGGGCAGGAGACTGAGAGGGACAGGTAGACAGAGGGACAAGAGAGAAGAGGTGGATGAGAATGAGAGGGAGACAGATCAGAGGTTGGGAGGGACTGACGTGGAGAGAGAAATGGAAGGATGGAGGAAGCAGAGAAAATGAGAAAACTCCCCCTTGCTTCTTTGAGGACCAACTTCAGGAGCCTCTGGACAGCCCAGCCCAAGCCTCCCCCACTCCTTACCTCTGGCCGGCCCTCTGCCTTTTCTCTGCCTGCTGGGTGATCAGAGTTGCGTCCAGTCTCCAGTTACAGGGGCCCAGAGGCAAAGGGGCCCGGTCCCTGGACCATGTAAGGACCTACCAGGACAGGCCTCCAGAATCCCTGAGGGGCACAAGACGCTGTCTCCAGCTGGGGTCACCCAAGCTTGTGTCCCAGCAGGAGCGCTAGGCAGGTTTGTTTGAGTATATCCAGGAGGGGTTTGCAGACTGCCCAGGGACCTAAACATCCCCAGAGAGACTGCGAATTTCACCCACCCGCTATCTTCCCTCTGCCAACCCCTGCCAGGCTCCCTGCTCCCTGGGAGCCTGAGCCCCTACGTGGTTCGGGCTCCATACCAAGGCCAAGAGAGCGTCAGGTCAGATCCTCAGTGAGGTGGAGAGGCAGGGGCCTGTCCAGTTGACCCCCAAAGATGCCCGTGCACGGGTGGAGGGAGGCATGGGTGGAGCTAGGGGAGGAAGAGGGGGTGGGGCAGGGTGCTTCCGTGGAGCTGTGTTTCTTTGGGGTTTTCTTGCTGCTTTTCCTGTTTGGCAGTCAGAGCTGTGACAGCCAAAGACACCTCTACGATTGCACCCCAGGGAGACGGCTGGGCCAGAGAGGAAACAGCAGGCAGGGCCCACGTCCCACCCCCTGCCAGAGCCCCAAGCGAGCGTGCCCTCCACACTCCCAAGAGGCCAGGCCACCCCCAAGGAGGCCCGCCCAGTGCTCGGGCCCCAGAGACGGCCCTGCAATGCCAGCCTCAAAGCCAGGGACTTGCAATTAACAGTGACCCGTCAAAACCGAGGAGCTGACTGGGGTCGGCAGAAGTCAGCAAGAAGGAGCAGACTGGAGGGGTGCAGCGGCACTACTGAGGTTGGGACGGAGCCCAGGACAGTGAGAAGACAGCTTCCTTTTCTCTCCCACCGCCCTTTCCAGGGTCACCAGGCTTAGAGGCTCAGATAAGAAAAAGGGCTCATAACTCCAAGGGTCTGGGTTCAAGTCCATCACTGATAAATTCGTGACCTTAGACAGGGACTTAACCCCTCAGAGCCTCAGTTTCCTCCTAAATAGGGGCTGATGGGAATTCAAGTGTCTACCTCAAATGGTGGCTGTCATGAGGATCAAGGGAACAAATCCGTGTAGAGCATTTGGGACATACCTGACGTGTCGGCTGGTGTTCTGGCACCACAGAGCCCACTCACCATTGCCTGCCCTCCATCTCCCCACAGAGCCCACAAGAGTGGCCAGGTGGGGGAGGGCAGGGGGCTGAGTGTGACCACATGCCGTTCAGACTCCAGGTCAGAGAGGCTGGGCTGGGCCATGCAAGCGGGTGCTGAATGGGCGAGCGAGCAGCACGTGTCAGAAGCAGGGACACAGGCACCAGCACAATGACCTGGTCACCCAGAGGGCCCTCACCAGCCCACCCCCAGCATCAGAGCCTGGGACCCAGCCTCAGGGTAGACTCGTGGCCTCAGCACAGATTCCTGTGCCCTAGTGAGCCAGAAATGCCCACTGCGTGGGAGAGAGGTCTGGCCTGGGAAGCAGGACTCCAGGAATGGGCAGTGTGACCGGGCAGTAGCTCCCGTCCCCAGCCTGTCTCGTCCTCCAGTCCCAGCAGAGGCTGAGATTGCTTCCATCCCTGACTCTTGAGTCTCTTGTCTCCCTGCCGTGGCCCCACCACTCAGGTTGGGGTGCCAGGTCCAGGGAGGACACGCAGAGCCATCCAGCCAGGGCAAGGACACCCAGGGACATCAGGCCAGGGAGGAAGGAAGAGCAGGCCCAGGAGAGCTGGCCAATCCCTGGAAGTGGAACAGTGGGGCCTCCGGGACCGCAGAAGGTGAGAGGGAGCACCCTGGGCTGACCGAACCTTCTGCTGCCCCATCAGAGGTTTTGTGGGAGCAAAATATATCTATTTATACTTCATATTTGAGATGAAACAGGGGAAGGAGAACGATAGGAGAGGAAGGAGAGAGAGGGAGAGAGACATGGGCACATTCTCAGAGCCCCTGAGGCAGAGCTGCATTCGATCCTGGCCAGCTCCCCAGGAGACTCAGCTCCCAGAAGGAGGGCGCTGGGTCTCAGCCACCATTTACTCAGGGCTTTGCTCCCAGCCCTCTGCTAAGTTCTCTGCACACACCACCTCCTGTAGGGTTGGTGTTTTCATCCCCATTTTACACACGATGACATAAGTCAAGTAGCCTGCCCCAGGTCACACCATGGTGAGAAGCCAAGCCGAGTCTTGAACACAAGTCTCACTTGTCCAAAGCCAAGCGCCCTTGGTTTTGACCATCTATGTCCTCTCCAGCCTCTGATGCACAGTAGGTGCTCAATAAAAGATAGATCAAAGGAAGGAAGGAAGGACAGAGGGAGGAAGGAAGAAGATAAGATTAAGGAAGATAAAGGAAAGAAGAGGAGAAGATAAACCTGGGAGACTCTTGAGCAGCTATAAAATAAATGATAAAGGTGCTGTTTTCCAATGCAGGCTGGCACGGTGCCCAGGACAGCTGCCCTACACACTCAGGGAGATTGCCTCATCTTTTCCAGAAGTATGTGAGCCCAGATACGTCAGCCTTCAGGTATGCAGTGAGCTCTGCGGTCAGAACAGCTCTCTCTCCTCTCTCCTTCCTTCTTGAATCTGCTCTTCATCTTGCTGCCTCCCCACTCCCCACCTGGCCAGCCAGCCCAGCCTTGCCCTCCTCCCTGGAGCCAGGCCGGGCTTGGTTGGGGGGCCTGTGAACAGCCCCCTCCATAGGGCAGATCCCGGGCCTGGGAGGAGATGGGTGCGTGGGGCCGGGGGAGGGGCGGGAACACCACATCATCTAACAGGTTGGTCGGGCTGGGAGGCGTCCCGCCCTCCTGGAGGTAATGAGCACTGTACGACAGGTGTTTGCTCCTCAGTCCCCAGCCTGTCCTGCCTGCGACCGGAGCCAGCTGCCGCCACACTTCAAAGGCTCGCTTGCTCTCGCTCATCCGTGTGTCCTCCCTGCACCCGGGCCAGGGGGCCACAATGGCCTGCCGCTCCTGTGTTGTTGGCTTCAGCAGCCCTAGCAGCTGTGAGGTGACACCGGCAGATGGCCCCTGGCCTGAGACCTCAGCATGGAACAGCTGCGGGGCCCCTGGGCCAGGCTTCAGCTCTTGCAGCCTCACAGGCTGTGGACCGGCTGGCACCATCGCCAAGGTGACCATGAACCCCAGCCTGCTGGTGCCCCTGGATCTGAAGGTGGACCCGGCCATCCAGCAGCAGAAGAACCAGGAGAAGGAAGAGATGAAGATCCTCAATGATAAATTTGCCTCCCTGATTGGCAAGGTGAGCAGAAGTGGGTGGGGGGTCCTGAAAACTAAGGACCAGTAGGCCTGGGCAGGTGGCTGAACTTTGTATCCCCTGAGCATCATTTCCCACCTCTGCCTCCAGCCAATGGGAAGCCGGCATTGCTGACTTGCAGGCTAGTTCTTAGTAGAGAGACGGGGAGGGAAGTCCCTGAGCCATCTCGGCATGGGGGGAGAAAGGGACCTCAGGATGACCTCTGATGGATGTCTGGAAAATAATGTGCTGTGTGGCCAGGGCTCCCCCTCCGCCTAGGCATGGACTAGGGAGGAGCTCTGAGTGTGGCCAAGAGGATGCCCCCCATAGGAACGGCTGCTGGAGGCATGGTCTGCAGTCCTCCTCCGAGGCAGATGGACAGTGGAGATGACCTCCCAAGGGTCCCCGCTCCTGTCCAGGCCTCTGACCCTGTTCAGCTTCCCAGAGTCAGAAGTACCAGCAGAGCCAAGGGGGCGTGTGGGGCCACCAGAAGAAGGCTGCGCAGTGGGGATGTGGCTGTGGCAGGTCAGGAGATAGGAATGCAGGGCATGGATGCTGCGAGTCAGAAACAGGCAGCCAGCCAAGCCTCCCCACACCCGCCTGAGTAGGAGTCTGAGTCCCCCGCACTTGGACTTTCTAGACCCCACTGCCATGGCCAGCATGCTGATGTGGGCACTGGTGTCCATCTCTGCACCTGGGCAAGGGCTTCAAGAGCTCTGGGAAAGTCCTAATCACCTCCCAAACCTGCTCCTCACTCACCTCCTCCAAAAACCCTCTCCTGCGCAGCCTGCCCAGCTCTGCTCCCTCCCGCCCTGCCCAAGAGTAACAGTCATAATAGTAACAACTGCTGTTACTTAATTGCTTACTCTTTGCCAGGCGCTGAGCTGAATGCTTTACATATTTACCTCTATTTCCCTGAACAACCTTATGAAAGAAGTCGTTTTGATGCCCAATTTACAGATGAGGAAAACTCAACGTTCTTGCCCCCCAGTAAACCAGAGCCCCACCCGTCTGCCCCTAGTGCTTGTCTGCACCTGTGCTCCCTGCTTCTGTGTTGCTCTGCACGTTGCTAGTGCCCCCGTGAGGGGGGCACTCGCAGAGAGGGGCAGAGGGAGGAAAGTAACACATCTCGAGCATCCATCTTTTGCCTGGCTCTCTGTGGGAACTTTGTAACTGTATGACATTAGCCCATGCAGCAACACTCCGCAGTGGCAGTTCCCTGCTGTGCAGACGAGGAGACCGAGCATCCCAGAGGTCAAGTGTCTTGCCCAAGGTCACACAACCAGCGAGTGCACGGTGGGATTTGAACCCAGGTCTGGGAGACACAAAGCCAGTAGTCTGGGAGTCATTTCTTCCTCCCATTCATGTGCCAAGCCCAGCATCCTGCACCACACCTGCGGTGCCCAGGGAGAGGGGTGTGGAGGGGGAGTGACAACTGGAGGACAATCTCCACTGAGGTGGAGCCTCCCCGCCCCCAGCCCCCGCAGCTGCAGCAAGGCCCCACTGCCGGGCGGTGCACCCTAGAGAACAGCCCGCTGCCCCGGGGAGGCGGGTCCCTGCAGGCGCCTCCTCTCCAAGCCCAGTTTAATCCCTTAAAAGGAATGCTTCATGAGCTGTGTGATTTGGCTCAGATGGGTGGCTTTTCTCCCTGAACGCCAGGGCTGATATCACCCTGTGCCTCCGCCATGGGGACAGGAGGGTGTGTAGGCACAGGGAGGGGGCCCAAGGGGTCGGGGTCCTGTGCCCAGGGGCCAGGGCAATGCCCTCTAAGGTCTTTAGCAGACTTGGAGCCCCCAAACCCTCAAGCCTTGAGACAGGTGCCCTTCAGGGTGGGACACAGGGAGCCGTGGGTTCCAGCCCTTGGGGGCCCTGATCCCTGAGGCTCTGCCTGAGGAGTCCCAGCTGGTCCACCAGCTCTACAGAGAAGGTCTGTTAGCTCATGTCCCTCCTTGCAAAGGCCACGAGGGCCCCAGTGGACACAGGCAGTGGTTACGAGTGTGAAATCCGGGACGAGCCCAGCGGTACAGTGGTTAAGTTCGTGCACTCCACTTCAGCAGCCTGGGGTTTGCAGGTTTGGATCCCCGGTGCGGATCTATGCACCACTTATCAAACCATGCTGTGGCAGCGTCCCACATATAAAGTAGAGGAAGATGGGCATGGATGTTAGCCCAAGGCCAATCTTCCTCAGCAAAAAGAGGAGGATTGGCAACAGATGCTAGCTCAGGGCTAATATTCCTCACCAAAAAAAAAAAAAAAATGTGAAATCTGGAGCTGCATTACTGGGTTTGAATCCTGGCTCCACCTCTGACCGGCTATGTCATCTCAGGCAAATTATTTAACCTCTCTGTGCCTCAGTACACATCGGCATAATGGGCTTGTCAAAATCAAATGGAGTAATTTTTGCAAAGTACTATAAAGCACATACCATGTACCAGGCGTGTTCTGTTTGTTCAATAGGAAATACCAGAAGTGGGCCTGGCGCAGGGAGCTCTTGAACCCTATTAGCCCCTCCCAGGCAGGAGCCTCAGAAGAGGAAGGAGGGGGCCCTGCTGAGGGAGACGGGGAGGAGCTTCGTGGGTAGGGACGCAGCACAGGGCTGGAAAGAGATGTATGGGCCCAGGGGTGGGGGCTCTAGGCAAACAGCAGAGCCAGGCAGGGGCCCTCCAGCTCCACATCCCCTTCTGGCCCTCTGAGGCCCTCTGAAAAATCAGAGGGGGGCGGGGCAGGCAGGGGAGGAGGGGAAGGAGGGCGGTTGTCGGGCAGAGACCACCAGGAGTCGGCCAAGGGGCCCTCGAGCAGTGTTGGTTCTTCTACTTGCAGGCTGTGTTTCCTTGGCAAGCCACTTAACCTCTCTGTGCTTCAAACCCCACCTCCCTGCTCTGCTCCTGCTCTGAGGGTGGCCCTGAGCCCTGAGTGGAACGCCCGGTACAGCTGCAGCCATGAGAGGAGGGGGGATGGGCATGAGCAGAAGCAGCAGCAGGAGAGGAGGCCGAGGGAGGTAGGCAGAGGGCGATGCCTGCGTCCCGCAGAGCTGCTGGCTGAGCCCTCTCCCCTTGACATGCAGACGACAGAGGGCATGGAGGTGGGACAAGAGGAAGGACTGCCAGCCATCGGCCTAAGGAGGCTGTGGAGAGGGAACCCAGAGGGTGATGAAATGCCTGGAGACAGAGGGATGGGCACGACATCCTCCCCTGGGCCTGTGTGGCCTCCAGAAGTCACTGGAGCCATGCCCCAGCCTGCATGCAGGAAGGCACAAACCAGCCCTTCCTGACAAGAGAACCTGAGGCTTCTGGGGCACAGCCAGCTTCTGGCTGAAGGCAGGGGATTTGACAACCCCCACCCCCCACCTAAGGAATAAGACCTGCATGCCCCAGGGGCCCCACCCTGTAAGCTTACCTGCCTGCACCGTGGGCCTGTGGGTTGGGGACCTGAAGCCACCAAGGTGGTCAGCCTCCCTCCCCAGAGGAGACCCCAACCAGGAGCTCCAGCCTGGGCTGCTCAGTGCCCCCACGGAAAGTACATCTCTCCCCGCCCTGGTCTGGGCCTGCTTTACAGCTGGGCGGCCCAGTAGTACCATAGAGGTGGGTCACAGAGAGTTCTGGGCCTCAGTTTGCTCATCTGTGAAACGGGAGACAGGTTGACCAGGGGTTCCCTCTCTGAGGCCCCTCCTAGAGCAGCTGCTGTGTAATCTAAGGGTGGGGGTCAGCCAGAATGGAGAGCGGGGGGGAAGGAGAGGTGAGCTCTCAGAGGCATTTAACCTGGCACCTCGCAGGGCGCCGGGATTATCTAGGCCCTCCCTAGGCCTTTGTTCCCGAGGGAGGAGGCTTTCTGCAGGGAAGCTCCTGGGTGGGGGATGAGTTTCTATCCCCACCTGCTGAGAAAACAAACGATTTCCCCAAGGGCAGCAGGGGGAGGGGGCTGCCCTGCATCCCCCACAACCAAAAGGACCCTCTGGCTGGCCAAAGGCAATGATCTCCCAGCGGGCTAGTGCTGAAGCATAAGGGAATGAGGTTAGACTAAGGGAAGGACTTCCTGATGTAAAGGGTTTCTTGTTGTTCATGGGCGGAGGAAGGAGCCTCACGTCTCTCCTCTTACCCCACCCTCAGTGTAAACATGGGGCTCCTGCTTGCCAAAACGGAGGGAAGGTGGGGTGAGCAGACATCTTCCCCCACAACGATCCCTCTCAGACACACGAGTAGGACAGAAACCCTCTTGACTTCTATCCCTACTGAACCTGTTTGGCTGCAATGACAGCAGACTGTAGGCTTGAGGTCAGCTTCAAGCAGAACTTACCAGTACAAATGGGAGTCGAGCAGGGGAATGACAGCCCACAAACGCATCGCCGATATTCTGCGGGTGCTATCTACTGCAGATATCAAAGGGGACTTCCCAGGGCATCAGAGCATCTCAGGAGAACCTGGGCTATGGGCAGGGCAGAGAGAGAGAAGGGCCCCTGGCACCAAAGTCAGGAGGAACAGGGAGCCCATGAAGGTCCAGAGTAGGCAGCCGCCATCAGATGGGTCTGTCTGGGAAGCTTGGCCACCAAGTTGCTGTGTGACCCTAGACAAGTTGCTTGACTGCTCTGGGCCCCCATCTCCTCCTCTGTAAATGAAGGGGACAGACCAGCTGATCCAAAAGGCTCCTGGCTGTGATTCTGGCTCGTTCAGGCTGCGATGCTGGGAGCCGGTGCCAGCAGTGGGCAGGAGGAGGCCCAGCTACTAGCCGGTGGTCACCGGAAACATCACAAGGCTGATTATCACAACATCCTGACGACAACAGCCTGCACTGTCCAGGAGCCAGGCCCCAGCCGTCCCTCCTGCCTCAGTGGCCGACCTCTGTCCTGGGCACCGAGGGGGCAGGGACCCCAAGACGGGAGCAGATGGCTCTCAGCCTGACAGGAGGGTGGTAGGTCAGGACAGACGAGGAGCAGACAAACTGAGGCCTCATCCTGGAGGGAACCGGGTTAGGGGGAGGGGGGGAAAGTGGAGGGGGAGGAGGGTAGGCTCCCTGCAGGAGGGGAGCTGGGAGCACTTACAGGGATGGACTGGCCTGGTGGAAAGGAGGGTGCCCGGGAGAGGCTGGAGCCTGGAGAGGACAGGCAGGGTGGGGAAGAGGCAGGGGCAGCCCCAGGCTGGCTGGCTGGCTGGAGAGAAGGAGGGGACGCAAGAGGGACCCTGACAGCCTGCCAATGGCTGGGGTGTGAGCCGTGGGCGCCTCTGTGGAAGTCTGAGCAGGAGAGTGTGAAGGGGGCCAAGCAGCTGGGCCCCCAAGTCTTTATCCTCAGGCAAAACTGGCCCTAACTGGAGAGAGAAGCCAGCCCAGGAAGGGCAGGGCGTCCCGGGGCCCACAGTGACCCAGCAGCAGACAGGAGGCATACGTCATGATGCTTAAAAGATTCTAAAGCCCAACAGCCTGGATTCCACGCCTGGCTCTGCCACTTGCTAATTCTGTGACCTTGGGCAGGGTATTGAACCTCTCTGTGCCGTGTTTCCTCATCTGTGAAGTGCAGCTGATACTAATACCTACCCCATCAGGTTGTTGTGGGGATTGAATAAGTCAAAGATGTCAGGCATGGAGGACCAGGCCTGGTCCACAGTAAGGGCCAACAAGCACTTGCTGTCATTACTATTACAAAGTGCATGCCCAGGTTCTCCCAGCAACCTCAGAGGTGGGCAGGGAAGGGGATATCATCCCCAACTTCTAGCTGGGGAAACTGAGTCTTGGAGAGGCTACAAGTCCAGGGTTGTCAGGAGGATCAGCATTTAAGAACGAACAAGGCCCTACCCCGCTGAGTTTCCAAGACAAGGGGAGGTGGGCAGGGGGCGCGGCAGGCAGGCCTCTGGCAACTCACGTTCCCTGGGGTCTCCCACCCAAGCCCCAGGCGGGCATGGGGAGCCTGTCACCTGTTGGCACACCTCCCCCCTCGCTCCCCCTTCCCTGCTCTCACTGGCCGACTCCTCCCCTCGGAAACCTTGGCTAGTTGGCTCCGCCTCCCTCTGATTCCCTCCTTATCTCACCGTCTTCCTTTGAAGGATCACCGATTGGAGATGCGCTCTGAGCGCGCTGAGTGAGGCCCCCGATGGGTGGGCGCAGAGCAGATGAGCTGCCACGTCCCAGGGAGGGCCCCCGGGGGGCGCGCCGGCTGGCGGGGGGCCTCGGCACCCAGCTGCCCACCCCTGGCCCACTCACCGCAGCCCTCCTGCTCTCCCAGGTGCAGGCCCTGGAGCAGCGCCACCAGCTGCTGGAGACCCGCTGGCGCTTCCTGCAGAGCCAGGGCTCAGCCACCTTCGACCTCGGGCACCTCTACGAGGAGTACCAGGGCCGGCTGCAGGAGCGGCTGCGCAGAGTGAGCCAGGAGCGGGGACAGCTGGAGGCCAACCTGCTGCAGGTGCTCGAGAAGGTCGAGGAGTTTCGGATCAGGTAGGCGTATCCTATGGGGGCCGTGGGCAGGGACTGAGATTGGGGACCAACCTGCACTCAGGTGCAGGGTCCGGGGCACCCAAGCCAGTAAAAGAGGAAACTTCTTTAAAGAACGTTTCTTTCCTCCAGACAGTTCTTGAAGACCTACTATGTGCCTGTCAGTATTCTAAATATTGGGAGGACACGGCGGTGAATCCACTGCCTCCCCATATAGTGACCTGTACAGCAAAGTCAGTCGGGTCAGCTGGCTGACAGCTAAGCCCTGTGCTTGCTGGCTCCTTGCAGCCCCGTCCCCTAGCCCCTCCTCTTGTGCTCTTAAACACGTTTGCCCTTGCCCACTCGTCCCGCTGGCGATGGGAAATTGTGTCACCAGCTAGAGCAACAGATGGGCTCCTGCTGTGGATGTGGCCTGGGATTTTGATCTCACTTGGGCTGGAAAGGGAAGCAGGAGACAGAAATGGGGAGTTTTGTTTGAGTAAAGAAGCAATCCCCTATAGGTAATGCGGGCCTGACCTCAGTGGTCGACGTGGGATCCAGAGAGATGAGGAAAACGCAGCCCCAGCCTACAGGATGCTTTTACAATTTAGTGGGGCAGACAGACAGGGGGACAAGCAGCTGGCAGGCAGTACAGCCCAGGGGTTAAGGGCACAGCCTAGAAGGGGTCTACTCCTCGCCCCCACCCTTCGCTAGCTTTGTGACCTTGGGCAAGTTGCCTGAGTTTCCTCCCGCGTGGAGTGGGAAGGGTGATGGTTGACGTCCGGCTGTTATAAATGCCACTCTTCTATCCCCTAGAAGAGGACGTGCCTGGCATGTCATACAGTGGTCCTTGATGCAGGTTTGCTAAACTGAACTGGCCAGTCTAGAAAGGCAGACCAGGCACTTGGGTAGCTCAGAGGAGAGAGGACCCTCTCTGACCAGACAGTGGACGGGGCTTCAAGGACCAGGAAGCTGGGCAGAGGAGAGAGTCTCTGCACCCCTCCTCGGGTCTGGTCTCCTCACGAGGAGGCCCCCAGCCAGGGCGAGGGGAGGACAGAGTGTGGCTGAACCCTTACCCTTCTCTAGCAATTGGGCCCAGCCCCAAGCCCTATGCTCTGAGGTGTGGCTACAGTCTCAGGAGCAGCCAGCCAGGCCGGGCTGGAGTGTGGGGGCGCCTGTCAGGTGTCCAGGGACCTGGGCTGTGGCTCAGCTTGCCACCACCTCTCCACACAACCTCCCTACTCAGGCCACACTCAGAGGAGATGGTCACACGGGACACCTTCCCGGCTCTGGGGGCCTCGGTTTCTTCATCTGTGGATCTGGCTGGAACTTTCCTGCCAACAGACATGCTCTGCAGCCCTGGCCTGGGCTGGGCCTCGTGGCTGGGCCCCTCCCTGGCCTAGGGGCCACCTCTCTCCCAGCTCTGCCTTCCCAGGTCCTGGGAAACACACAGGGAATCTGATTGCCCATTCTGAGCTGCCCAATTGCGATATCTGACCTCCGACCGTGACAAGGGACATGGTGTAGGGGTACCAGAATCTGCAATTCATTTCACAGATACCTAGTAGGTCTTTGGCCCTCAAAGCATCAGAGAATGGCAGAGCTGGATGGGGGCCTTGGAGCCTCCTTTTATGGGGAAGGAAGCACAGGTCCAGAGAAGGCAGGGGCTTGTCCTCAGTCACACAGCCGTGCGTGCTAAGTCTCGTCCCCTATCTTCAGGCAGCCACGGTGTAAGGCTGCTCCCGTGAGCCCCGCCAGATCACTCCACAGAGACACTTTGTAACTGGAAGTTCTGTACAAACACTCTTTGTTGTTTTAATCTGGCTCAGCCCCCTTATTTGGTCTGCTGCCTGGTTTCATCTGCTGCCTGATTTTACTGCCTAGGCTCAGGGCCTCTCTTCCCTTTCTGGGTCGGGAACCCACCCGAGTTGGAGGAGGCAAGGCTGCAGCCTGGCTGTGCAGAGCCTGGTGGCCCCCAGGAGCCAGGAGATGCCAGGCCAAGCCCTGACAGGGAGGGGCATGCCCCGCCTCTACAGGGCTGATGAGGTCAGCTTCACTCCCAGAAATAAACAAGTTGGGGGTGACAAGCTGAAAAGGGCTGAGAACGGGTTGGGAGCTGGGAGCCGGCAAACTGGCTGAGGGTTGCAGATGGAAGGGGGAAGATGACATCACCTAGGCCTCTGTTGGGATGGAGACTTCCAAAAGCTTTGATGTGGCCGGGACCCCAAGGATTAGCTAGCTGAACCTTCTCTTTACTAAGGATGAAGCAGAGGCCCAGCAAGGTGAAGCGACTTGCCCAAGGCCACATAGCAAGTGACTCAGGAATACTGCGTACAATTGTGCAAGCTATTCACTGCACAAGAGCATCTGGTTGAGGGGGTGAACTGGGGTTGAAATCCAGGAGAGTTGATGAAAAAGGTAGAGGGAAGGCTGCACAAAAGGATGGGAAGGGCAGTGAGGGGTGAGGAGGAGGTTTGGCATCTCGGAGGGCCCCCACTGCACGGCTCTCCCCAGGGCCTGCCCCCTAAGAAGGCAGAACTCTGTTATCCAGAGGGGAGGGGAGAAGGGGAGAGGCTGGACCACTGGGCTTGTGTGGGGAGGGCCAGTCAATGAGGGGCTTCTCAGCTTGGGGCTCCCCAGACCCCTGTTCCCACGGCAGGGAATTCCTCAGAGGCCCCCAGATTCCAGTGAGAAGCCTGTTCAAGGCAGGCCAGCCCTGAAGGTTTGGGAAGGATGTGCAGAGACCCACCTGCTCTCTCTGCAATGAGGCTTCCCACGGTTTCTCTCCAGAAATACCAGGGGCCACAGCAGAGGGGCTGAGGGCCGGGGCCTGGTGATGGAGAGAGCAGAGTCAGGTAATAATAATAATAACAGCTTCAGTGGGTGCCAGGCACTGTTGTGAAACACTCCGTGTCTTCACTAAGTTGATCCTCATGACGTCACTATTGTCATGACTGAGGCACACACAAGCAGCTTACCCAAGGTCACACAGCTAGTCAGCGAGGAGCCAGGATTTGAGCCCAAGTCATCTGGCTCTGGAACCCCATGCTTAACCAAGCTCCACGCTCGCCTCAAACCCCTTCTCTGAGCCTCAACTTCCCCATCTGTGAAATGGGACCAACAAGACCTCCCGAGCTGGGGGCTCTGTGGATCACAGGAGAGGGTGCAGGTAAAGCCTCTTGGGCATCTTGTTCACTCTGGCAAGCCCCAGACTGCAGAACAGTCTCCCCAGCCCACCCTCTGCCCCGGCCCCCTGACCTGCACCCTCAGAGCCCCTCACAGACTCTCGGAAGCCAGCGCAGTGCCAGGGAGAGTGCACGCTGGGCATACTGAGTTTCAGAGACCCGGATGCCCTGTGGGCTGTGGCCCCACTGGGGTCAGTCCCCTTAGCTCTCGGGGAGGCTGGTGGAAAAGAAGGCCTGAGGGTGGCAGGTCCAGCCAGCTGACGTGGGCGATGGGTGACGCTGCCCTTGCCATGAGGGCAGGGGCTAGGGCAGGTGGGAGGCTGTGATTAGAGCCACCAGTGATTCAGGCACTCCCTGGAGAGGAGGGAAGAAAACAGGAAGCCACAAGACCCCCTCATCCTCTGGGGCAGGCAGTGTGCAGCTGGCAGACACCCATCCAGGGGGGCCTGGGTGGAGGTCTTGACTGAGGGAGGGGGTAAGGTCAGGGATCCAGGGATCCTGTCCCCCCCACGCAGCAGTGTCCTTGTTCCAAACACAAGGTGGACGTGAGTAAGGAGGGGGCAACTGAGAAGGCAGGGAACCCACCTTTGTCGATACTGACAGTACACGTCCGTCATTGCATCGGGGAAGGACCTCGTCAGCCCCCACGAGTGCATGGGCACACACATGCACACACACAGACGCACACGCACACCCCTGGGAGACGAGGGAGCTGAGGAAGGAGGGGTGGAGTTACCTGCCCAAAAACAGTCTGACTGCAACATCCACACACTTCTTGTCTTCCCTCTGGAGGGAACATGATGGAATGATGTCCTACCATCTAGCAAAGCAGAGGGGAGAAGGGTGGAGCTGTGGGGATGGGTGGAGGTGGGAGACGGGGAGGGGTGAGCAGGCTGCTGGGAGCAGACTTGACCAAAGGCACAGCTTGTTTGGAACTGAGACTCGTGGGAGCAGATAGGAAAAAAAGAAGGGAACAAGGTGTCAGGGTGAAAGGGCTGCACAATCAGGAGAGGCTTCCTGGAAGAGGAGGCGAATGCGGGGCAGAGCCAGGAAGGGGACAGAAGCCACCCGGAGACACTGATCATCAGGAAGGAGTGAGAGAATGGGGAGCTGGTTTGCCTGCTTCCCCAGAGCCAGCACTAGGGGGTCATGGGGTCAGAGGGGATGTGTTAGAGAGAACGAGGGGCTGCATCCACATGAAGGAAGGGCCCCTCTTCCCTAATTGTCACAAGGCACCAAATGTGACAGCAGAGGCCCTGAGCTCCACCCAAGGAGGGTTAACCAAACCCCAAGCCCCACCACATCCCCACATCCAGCTGAGCAGCCTCTCTCTCTGTCTCTCTGTCTCTGTCTCTGTCTCTCTGTCTCTGTCTCTCTCTCTCTCTCTCCTTTCCCCTCCCAGGTATGAGGACGAGATCTCCAAGCGCACAGACATGGAGTTCACCTTTGTCCAGCTGAAGAAGGTAGCCTGTCCACCTGCCCTGGGGGCTCCTTCCTCAGGCACCCTCTGCCCTCTTTCCCTCGGGATCCCCAAGCAAAGCCTGCAGAGGCTTGAGTCCCAGGACCACAGACAGACAGACAGATGCCTGTCCCCACCCTGCTCCTTCTCCCAGGCTCTGAGCCAGGTCTCCCTTGGGAGTCACCCCCATCTCACCCAGGAAGCAAAGTCGCCCTACCCTACTCCTGCCCTGGGACCCCTCCACTCCCTCTCCCCTCACTCACCACTGTTCCGACTCCCAGGACCTGGACACGGAGTGTCTTCGACGGACCGAACTGGAGACCAAGTTAAAAGGCCTGCAGAGCTTGGTGGAGCTGATGAAAACCATCTACGAGCAGGTGAGGAACTGGGGCCGGCGTCTGGCCGAGCCAGGAGCTGACCGGTCCACGGGTGAGGGATGTGAGGGAGGGAAAGGCGTCGAACCTTCAGCAGTCACTCCTGTTTCAGGCCACAGATGTAACAATTTCCTAAACTCCTTCCTGTGCTACTGTCAATAATCGGACACATCCCCTCTTCACTGATGTCATGGAGCATGGGCGGGTTCCCAAAAGGCCTCTCTCCCAGGGAGAAACTGTGCCTTCAGTGAGTGGAGTGCTGAGGGCATGCAGGGGACCAGGAGCATCTGGGCAAGGGTTGGGAGGTGGCCTCAGAGCAGGGCACAGGCAGCCTTGACCAGCTGTTCCTACTGAACTAATCTCTCTCTAGTCCCTGCAGCCTCAGTCGCAGGCGCCCGCAGTTCCAGCTGAGATAGGCATGCGCTGGAACCTTCCCCGTTTGGGGCTAAGACAGGGAAGACCTGTGGTCGGAATCTCTGGTTCCCAGCAGTACTAGCTCGTAATGGAACGCATATGACCCAGTAAATGCAGGCAGAGGAGCCTCCATGCACATTCTCACTTGTCCCTAAGTCCTCAGCTGAGCCCAGGAAGGCCCAGCAAGGCCCAGTGTACTGCCAGTGTATCAGCAGATGGCCCTGCTCCCTGTGCTGGACGCTGCCCCTCCATGCCGCCTCCTGGGCATCCTACGGGACATGTGCTCCCCTCTCCACATCCCCTGTTTCAGGGATGAGGAGGGATGTGGTGGTGCTTCAGTTCAGCCATGAGCCGGCAGGACCACTGTGGGGATGACAGGGATTAGCAGCCTGTGTGCTGCAAACTGCTGGTGCCAAACTATGGCAATGCAGCCAGGGTCAGAGCAGGAATTAGTCACCACTGCCATCAAAAAGTTCTGCTAAAATGGCCCTAGGGGACAGTTTCGTGTCCCCATCCTGTGGGGACAGAGCTTGGGCATCATTACCAGCAGGCTCAGCTCCTAGTGGGGCTTCCATGGGCCTGAGACCTGTTTGTGGCCATGGGAAGTTAGCACGACAGAGGGAACACCACTACCCTTAGGAACAGCAGGGAGGCAGCCCTCCCAGGCAGACCGCCCACATCAGCCACTCCAAAAAGCCTCCTGTCCCTGGCAGAGCCCCGCACAGCCCGGCCAAGCCCTGGAGTGCTGACCAGGGCACCATGCCCACTGACTGGCTGGAGAAGTGGGCTAGGGGCTCCACTGTGGGCTGGTGCAGCCCGGGCAGACAGCAGCAGGGCTGGTGTTGTGGAACCTGCCCTCCACCTTGCTCCCCACATCTCAGTGAGCCCAGAGCCCGAGCTCAAAGGCAGGACGGTGGCCCTGCAGGTGTGGAGACCCAACCGGAGGAAGGCCAGGCATAGCCAGCAATACACCTGGGCACTGCCGGAGGCACATCCACCAAACTTCTTGGCCCCCTCCCCACTCAGGGCTGCAGACTCCATTCGGACTTTGCAGCCCTTGGGCCCCAATTCTGACTCGTCCTTTTTTACCATTTTCGTGACTTTGAGCAAGTTATTTCTGCTCTCTGTGCCTCAGTTTCCTCCTCTGTAAAATGGAGAGAGTAATAGTACCAGGCTCGCAGGGTGGTGATGAGGATTAAATCCATTCATTCATGTAACAAATGCTGACTGCATGCCTCCCAGGCGCCAGACACTGACGTCAGAGCAGTGAGCAAGATGAGGGAGTGCCTGCTCTCGGGAGGGGACGACTTAGCGGGGACAGGGAACAAGCGAGTGTCTGAATGAGATGGTTTTGGAGGGTGAAAGTGCTGGGATGCATAGGAACCAGGGGATGCAGTAGTGCTGGAGGGAGCGCTTCAGACCCGAGGTCGGGGCCTCTCAGAGGTGGTTCCAGCATGTGAAGGCCCACACTGGGGAGGTCTGGGGCAGCGGGAAGAGCTGTGCAAATGGCCTGAGGCAGGAGCGAGTCTGGGGATGAAAGGGAGAGAAAGAAGCAGCGGAGGCAGGGCAGAGCGGGCAGGAGCCCCGGGCCCTGAGAGGAGGTTTCGACCTTATTCTAAGCGTGACAGGCAGCCCCTGGGGGTAAATAACAGGGGTGATGCAGAGGGGGTGCGGGATATGGCTGGTGCTGTACAAGACGGCTGTGGAGAAGGGAACGCAGTGAACCAGGAGACACTCAGCGCATTAGAGCAGTTATTATTACTTTTGGAAGCAACAAGGTGGCGAGTGGGTATGGGGACAGGAGGTTTGCGTTTCTCCGCATGTACCGCCCTGGGCTGAGAAGGCAATACTGACCCTTTGTTTAAAAGATCCCCCACACTGGTGGTCTCTAAGCCGGCACAAACATAATGCGAGCCACATATGTAATTTTAAGTTTTCTAGTAGCCACATTTTTTAAGAAAAAAAAAGGAAAGGAACAGAAAAAATTAATTGCAATAATATATTTTATTTAGCCCCGTATATCCAAAATATCATTATTCAACATGTAATCAATATAAAAAATTAATGGGCTTTTTTACACTCTTTTTCTCATGCTAAGTCAAAATCTAAGGTGTATTTTACCTTTAGAGCTCAATTCTGACTAGCCGCATTTCAAGGGCTCACTACCACATACGCTAGTGGCTCCCGCATCAGACACAGCAGGTCCAAGTACGGGGAGGTGCCAGCCATGGCTGCCCCTCCCCTCCAGGGACACAGGACCCTGAGGCTCCAGTCCCCCTCAGCTTCCAAGGTACACTCCTGCTCCCAAGCGCATTTGGGAAGTGGCTGCATCCAGCCAGAACGCCTCCTGCCCCACCCATAAACTCTGGTTCCAGGGAGATTAGCTGACAACCCCCTGCAGCCAGGCGCTCCTCCTGGGACACCAATCCCTGAACAAAGAACCTGGTGTGTCAAGTCGCTTTGGCGCCTGCCTTCACGGTGCCGTGGGAGGCCACTCCAGGGACAGGCTGCTCTGGCCCTGGACGCTCCGTCCCGGCTCCATTACCTCCACCAGCTACAATGATGGCAGCCTTAGCTACGGTTCATTGAGCACCTGTCCTCTAGGCACTGTGCTAAGTGCTTTCCAGATGTATCTCATTTAATCTTCACGACAACCCTACAAAGTAAAGATAATTAAGAGAGCACAGACTTGAGAGCAGCTCGGATTTGAATCCTGGCTCAGTAATTATGTGAACTCCAGCAGGTTCTTTTATCCCTCTATGCCTCGATTTCCCCATCTGTAAAATGGGGAGAATAACAGTGCCCGCCTCACTGGCCTATTGTGTGGATTTATTTTGTTAATTTATCCTAAAGCACTCAGAACAGTGTCTGGCACATGGTAAGTATTGGTAAATGGCAGCTGTTTTCAGTTTTATAATTATATCCATTTTACAGATGAGAAAACCAAGGCTCAGGTAGGTTTAAAAACTGGGCCAGGGTCACCCAGCTAATCAGAGGAGGTGATATTAGGCCAGAGCCATTAAGCACTACATTCTACTGAGCGGCATTGTTACCCCCCAGCGACTGACCTGGGGACCATGACAAGGGTGGTCACACTTAGGGCAGTCTCCTCCGGCTCTGGCTCCAGCGTGCACATCCTCTCTAGTGGCCCATCCCACAGTGGCACTGCCACACCACACAGCCAACATTGTTATACCCTCTGCAGCCCGCGGGGCCGGCGTGTCTGCACAGGTCTGCAGTTGTTCTAAACCCTCCATTTCCTGCTTGTTTACCACGAATGTGTTACCCTGCCTCCTTCCAGAAAGGATCTGAGGCTGCCCATCAGCCGCGTTTCGCCGATCCTTTCACCCTGACGGGAAGCCCTCCTGCAGCCTGTTCTCAGTGTCCTGGCCTTTTCCTGGCCCGGAACAAATGTCAACGGATGCCTGGCCTAGAAGTGCCACTGGGGGGCTTTATCTGGAACTCCCACGCCCACTGACCCCCACAACATGTCGGGGCAATGAGCAGGGTCTGCGAGCTGCTTCCTGAGAGTCGGAGCAGGGAGGCACTGATGCTCTGACCATCTCTCCAGGGAGACAGGAGGGAGGAGCCCGCGCTCGGCTCGCCCTGGGGACAAAGGGACTGGGGGTGGCTGCGGGTCCTGGGGCCCCCCACCGGTCCTGAGCCCCCCACGCCTATGCCTGGCCAGGAGCTGAAGGACCTGGCAGCCCAAGTGAAGGATGTGTCGGTGACCGTGGGCATGGACAGCCGCTGCCGCATTGACCTGCGCGGCATCGTGGAGGAGGTGAAGGCCCAATACGACGCCATCGCGGCTCGCAGCCTGGAGGAGGCCGAGGCGTACTCCCGGAGCCAGGTGCGGGGCTGACCTCGCGGGCGGAGAGGCGGCCCCGACAGGAGGGGCTGCGCTAGTGATGGCTGGGGCAGCCTGCGGCTCCTGTGCTGAGATTCTGCGAGCGAATGGGGAAGCACAGGGGGGCCGAGACCACGGCAGTCAGTTAACGGGCGGGCACAGAGAATGTGAGGGCCCAGCGCTAGGCCGGGTGTGGGCACAGTGTAGAGCAGCCAGGAGGAGGCCACCCAGAGACAGACGTGGTGCGGGCAGGAGAGGGGGTTGGAGGGGGAGGCTGTGCAGGGGGTGGTGGGCTACAGAGGAGGGGGTGCTGGGGGTGAGAAGGACTCAGGGAGCTGTACCTCACTGCCACCTCCCCCACGCCCCGCAGCTGGAGGAGCGGGCCGCCTGCTCAGCCGAGTTTGCGAACAGCCTCCAGATCAGCCGCAGCGAGATCGCTGACATCAACGTGCACATCCAGAAGCTTCGATCCCAGATCCTCTCCATCAAGAGCCACGTGAGTGTCTGGAGGAGCCCCCTCGGGGTGGAGCAGGGTGGAGAGCAGGGACACACACTCTCACACTCACATCCACACGCTCATGCATGCTCAGTACATGCAAGACCTGACCGAGTGAGCCTGGGCAGGTCACTTAGCACCTCTGTGCCTCAGTTTCCCCACCTGGCCTCCTGAGATGGCAGTGAGGATCACGTGATCTTTGCATGTAAAAGTGCTTAGTAAACTGGCACGTTAGGGAACCCCACCACCACACACACCCCGAACCCACAGCCTCCCTCCCAGGCCTCCAGCCAACCACATAGAGAGGACAGTGGAGGCCTCAGCCCCCACTTCCCGCCAGGACAAGCCTTCAGAGCCAGTGCCACCCTGTAAGGGCAGCTGGGACAGGCTCCTTTGGGGGCTTGTGGTACCTCCCTCTCTGGTGGCCTTCAGAAAGTGTCTCCCTACATCTAACTGAACTCCCTCTTGCTGCAATGCAACCCATCACCACACTCAGGAAGTCCGTTGCTTAGCCCCCCTTCCCCACGCACACCCCACCAAGGACAGAGGTGAGCTCCTGGCCCCTTCTCTGCCTCCCACCCCTGCTCACTGATCGCCTCCTCTGTCCTCCTGGCTGTAGTGCCTGAACCTGGAGGAGAACATCAAGGCGGCCGAGGAGCAGGGGGAGCTAGCCTTCCAGGACGCCAAGGCCAAGCTGGCCCAGCTGGAGGCGGCCCTGCAGCAGGCCAAGCAGGACATGGCGCGGCAGCTGCGCGAGTACCAGGAGCTCATGAACACCAAGCTGGCCCTGGACATCGAGATCGCCACCTACAGCAAGCTGGTGGAGGGCGAGGAGAGCCGGTGAGGGGCTGAGGGGAGGGGCCAGCAGGGTGGGGCTGGGGAGAGGGAGGAGTGGAGGACCCTCCCTCTCCAGCCTGCTACTGTGAGCCTGGGTTCATGTCCTGGCTCAGCCTCTTACAAACTGGGACCTTGGCCCAGTTCATTAAATTCTCAGTTTTTCCATCTGGAAAGTGGGCTGATCATAAACACGGCCCACCTGTGGTGGGGAGGATTACTATGATTCTGCATGCAAAGCCTGTCACAAATGAGTGCTCAGTAAATGTTAGCCATTTATGCAGGGGAGAGGGGCAGAGGCCCAGAGAGGACAAGCTGGCTAGCCCGGGTCACACAGCAGGGCAGCCCAGGGCTGGGAGTGACAACTAAGAATTGCCCTCCACCTGCCGGTCCTCAGGCTCCCAATCCCAGGGGAGCTTAAGCCACAGGCTCCCTTGTCATCCCACCATGTCCCTCTTCCCCAGGATGGACTTGCCTTCAGCTGCTGTGGTCACTGCTGTGCAGTCCAGATCCAGAACCGGTGAGTCTACGTGACCCAAGAACCCCTGGTGGGCAGGGGATGGGGATCACGACCCTAAAGGCATCATTCTAAGTGGCTTCCAAACCTCCAGCCCCTTCCCTGCACCACCCCTTACTTTCCCTGTAGCTGCCTGCAAGTCCTGCCTCTCGAGAGCCCCCTCCCGGAAAAAGAAGCACAGCAAAGGCGCCGTGATCAAAATCACCGAAATGTCAGAGAAGTTCCTCTCGCAGGAGTCAGAGGCCTCAGAGTAAAGCAGCTGGACCAGGAGCCCCAGGTCACTCCCCTGCAGGAAGAGGGACTTAAGCTAGTCAAGAAAGCGACTTGGAGCCTCTAGGTTGGGAGAGGAGACACACCTGATCCTGAACTGAGAGGAGGAGGATTCAAAATGTGACTGCTCTTTTGTGGGTCACCAGGGATGGGACAGGACTGTCACCAGCTATTCAGAGCCATTCCACTCCTTATCCGTATCTCACAGTCCCACTCTTCCACGCTTCTGGCCAGAGGTTTTCCCGACTGGGTAAACTGGAATTGAGGGTCCATTTTGTCTCTATCTCCTGGCTCCCTTGAGGCTCCTCCCTCAACAGAGGGCTCTGACCAAGGTCCCTTTGACTCTTTTGCCCAACCCTTGCCTAAACTCACATCTCGAGCCTTGCCTTGCCTCTGCCTCAGAACTGAGGCTGGTGCCCTCGGTCACCCAGCCCTGGTCAGCCGTGGACCAGGGGCTGATGGGGACCTCTTGGGCACCCTCCCCATATCTGGAATTCCTGGGGAGGCTGGGTCCTGAGTACCCCTGGCTTTCCTGACCACCTGAGCTCCCAGAGACCTGACAGTATTAGGGAGTGAGGGGGAGGCTCCCTGAACGTTTGGGACCTGAGCCTGGACCTCTGAGATCAGCCCAGACACCTATGCCCCTTCCCTCCTCCTGTGGGTCCCTCCCAGCAGGTCACAGTCAGAATTGGACAGGCTGCCCTGCCAGCTCCCAGCACCTTCTCCAGAAGCTGTTCTTGCCATGATGAACTCCCCGGGGGCAGGCCAGATGGCAGCCTGAGACCAGGCAGGAGAATCAGACCTTCTCCTCTCCTCCCTGCCATCCTGGGGTTCACCACCCTGCCCCCCGTCAGCTGTTTCCCAGCCTGAAACTGGCTTTGGAGCACCAGGCCCTGGAGATCCCTAGCCCCCACCATGAAACCCCAGGCCCACTTCTCATGAACCCCACTTCTCAGGGTCTCTGTTCCCCCCATCAGGCCACACAGCCTGGCCCTCTGGTCCTTTGCATCCCTGAGGGGCCCAGGAACACCCCATCCCTGGAGGGTTAGAGCTCCTTCTTGTCCTCCCCCTCCACCCCTCCTCCCTCCATGCCCACTCCTCTGCCTCCAGCGGGGCCATGAAGAAGGCACAGTCCAGGCGGGTCTGGGAGCTTCTGAGCCCTTGAGGTCGGGCTGGAGAGCCGCTGACAACCCAAGAGAAATTCTACATCCAACAAGAAGATGTGGGGCTGGGAGGAGTGCTCCCCTCTCCTTCTCTTGGCTCTCACTTTGGGGCAGCTCCAGCCTCCCACTCGACAGCCACCTTCTCTCCTTCCTTCTCTTCTCCCTAACTGCCCCTTGCCTCACCTCCTCTTCTACCCTAGTCTTTGATTCATTCATCTCATTTTCCAGGACATTGGTGGCCCAAGGCCTTGGCCCCTCCTACACTCAAGGTCCTCCAAGCCTGCGGGGGGCGCTGAAGGGCCACTGGCTCAGGCAGGAGGGGACTCAGACATGTACTTATCCCTGAGGTGCCAAAACGGTGCTGATTGCTGCTTTTTCTCCACCTATTTATTGGTTTCCAAGGGAGCAAATCCTCAGTGGGGATACAAGATATATAAAGTATATATATTATTTTTTCATAACTTATGTGGCTTTTAAATTATTGCTTCCCTTACTGTTTCTGCATAATCAGTGCTATATATTCTACTATCTGAACAGACAATACATGTCGTGGCCACCCTACCTGACCGGATAACTATCAGGGCAATGGCCGCTTCTCCCTGCCAAGGGATGAATAAAGTGCTGAGATTTGTCCATGGATAAAGCTGTGTGTCTGTTTTTGTCTCCCCTCCCAAGACTGGTCAGTCACTGGTCTGCCAGTGTGGCCAAAAGACTTTGGGAATTCTCCAATTATGGGGAAAGGGGTTCAAGGACCTAGTTATAGCTTCAGACCAATGCAACTTGGCACAAAAAGGCCGCCTGCCCCACCATCCTACAAGGAGGCTGTACCGGTGTCGACCACGTTCCCAGCCTCCTGACGTGTGCAGGCGCCACATGGCCGCCGTAGCAAGCACAGACACGAGGGCTCCCCCAGGTGGCGGCAGGTTCCTTCTCAGGTACTTCCGCCCGACCATGGGGGTTGGCACAGCCCAGAATGTATTCTGATGGGTAAAGGCCCAATCGTGCCAGATCAAATGCTAGATCAACAAACGATGATTGAGGACCTTCTCCAAGCCCAGCCCTGTGCGAGGACACCTACTACCCTTCCCCACTCTTCAGCCTCCGGAGGCTCACGGTCAGGGTGAGAGAGAAGCTGTCAACTCAGCAGAGCTTCCTGGACTTCTTGTCCAGTGAAGAAGGTCCGAGAAGGGAGAGGCTTGTGCAGGGAACCGGGGAATCAGAAGAGGCTGCTCGGAGGATGCGGGGCTCTAAGTGAGGACGAAGGAGCAGGACAGACTGAAGGAGGAACAGATGTCTCAGGACAGGAATCCTGCGGGCAAAGAAGGGACCGTGAAGCACTCGTGTCCTGGCTCACCCGCTCACCGGCAAGGAGACTTCAGACAACGGAGCCTCAGTTTGCTCATCTGTAAAATAGAACACATAGCCTCCCTACTTACATAATAGAGCATTTGGGGATCTGGTGAGAGAGCTGGGTTCCTTCCTATCAGGGATCCCACCTCTTGCATCCAGCACTCTGAACTGTGACAGCTCAACAAGTCTTAAGGGTTATTAGTGAGGCCAATATTGTTATTATAGCAGATGGTATGGATCAAAGATAACTCACCAGTTGGGACACCAAATACAGGCAAATAGACCCCCAGCTGCCTCTCTAGGGCACAGCACAGCCAGGCCCCTGGGCTGGGAGTCCAGAGACTTCCATCCAGAGTTTCTCATTCTCCTGAGGCCTCTGAGGGATGGGCTCTGCTCTCAAAACTCAGGAGAGACATGGAATAAACCACATTCCCCTCCAGGAGGGGCCTGGAGCCGAGACTAGAGCTCTGCTTACTTTATTTTTGTTTTCTATTCTATTAATTTCTGGATTATGAATTTCTGAATACCAATTTGAACTTCTGAACCTGCATATAAATGGTATAATCAAAAAATATATAACATTATTTCCTTCCTTCTACTTTCTTTAAACTTATTATTTTTATGATTTTCCAACTTCTTGAGTTGAATGCTTTAATTTTCCACCTTTCTTCTTTTTCAATATAAGATTCTCTGAAAACCATAAATTTCCTTTTACGTACAATTTTGACTGCTTCCTATTGTTTTCATATGTAGCATTTTTATTAGCATTTAGTTAAAACGGTTTTATTCTTTGACGCATAAGTTATGTAGAAATCTCCCCACCCACGGGGCACTCGTTTACCAAACACTGAGCACATGCTTAGCCTGAGCCAGGCCTGCCCTGGATGCTCTCGGAGACGTTCAGTTCCTCTAACCTTTCTCTCTGGACCCTGGACTCCCTGATCCTCCACGTTCACCTCCTTCGTTGCCTACTTTCGTGCCTTTTATCCCCAGAACACTCTAAACTCCTCGGGGGGGCAGGGATGGCACCCCATTACATCCCCAGGGCCTGGCACGGCACTGGCCCATAGTAGGTTTTCAAGAAACGTAAAATTAATGAGAGAATAAACGAATGAGGTACCTCCCCACCGAGGTCTCCTAGCCTAAATGTCCCAGAAGGTGAGGACATATCTCTTTGACCTTTGCATGCCCTGTGTTAATGCAACGCCTGCACATTGAAGGAGCACAGTTAGTGCATGCAGAATGAATGAAAGAAAACAACGACTTCTCCACCAAATGAGGAAATGCTCCTGCCCCTTTCCTGCTAACAGATCCTGAACAGTTCTCTGGAAGGCTCCGGGTCTGATTCCCGCTCCTTGTGTAAGCTCCCTCCTCCCTCCTCCTTGCCGCTCCTGCCTTCCGGAGTGATTCAGTGAATGCCCGCCCAGCCAAGGGCGCCACCCCTGCTCTGAGCACAACAACAAAAATCAGCTCCTACCTGAGTTTGGCTCTTTCTTCTCCTGATTTCTGCTCCTCCTAACCACCTGTGAGACGAGCAGGGCAGGTATCATTAGCTGAGGCCCAGAGAGGCCAAGCATTGTAACTTTAGTCACCCAGCAGGTAAGAGGATGCATCTTGGTTCCATGGAACCATTTTCTACCCGCAGACTGGCTGCCAGAGGGGCAGTAAAAAGGACCAAACCCAGGAACTGACAAAGTGGAGACTGAAGGCCCCCACCTTCAAACACAGAGGGCAGTGGGGTTGAGCAGGCACCCAACAGCAGGTTGCCAGCCTGAGCCCCCAGGCTCAGCGTGGAAGATCAGGGCTCAGAGGTGTCAGGCCAGGACCAGCAAGTCAGCGCCCTGGTGGCCCCAGAGAAAACTTCCTCTAAGGGGGTCCCCGGGCCAGAGCCTAAGGCAGGCCCCGTGTGCTGGGGGTTGACTGCAAGACCTCTCTTCCTGTTCCTTCTCCTGGTCTATCTAGGCCTAAGGAAAACAGCTGGAAGAGAGGCAGTTCCTGTGTTTGGGAAGCTCCAGACCCTGATGAGGGGGGGCCCACACCAAAACAGAGACAGATAGAACCAGAGGTACCTGGGCAGAGCTCAGACCTCAGCACTGGGGCCTGCAGAGCTGCTGGGGGATGTTATCAAAGAGGGCTTCCTGGAGGAGGGGACAGAGGCAGCTTGGAAGGAGGGGATATTAGGGCTGGCAAAGAAGAACGGAGTGGAAATGGCTGAGGGGAGTGGAGAGGAGCAGATTTGCTCAGCCTGCAGCCTGGGCAGAGAGCAGGCTGCAAGCTACCAGACACGAGCAGGTAAGCCTGAGTTGAGAATGAGGAAAACTAAGGGAGCAATATCATAATGTGGGGTAACCCTGGAGCCCCCACCAGGAGATAAGCCAACTATGTGCAGGGACTGTGTATAATCCAACTGTGCATCCTCGTGTCCAGCAGGGTGCCAAGCACACAGTCGGCACTTACTAAATGCTAGATAAATTAATGAAGGCATGACCTACCAGCAGGTGACTGCAGCTACTGAGGGATGAAGATGCACACATTGTGGAGGACTTTTCGAGCACCTACTGTGTGCTGCACCCTGTGCTAGGCACAGCAGGAAGGACGAAGGAACAAAGGGCAAAATGAGGTATTTGGCCTTAGGGGCTTCTGGCCGGGATCCGACTCCTGGTCCCCTGTCGTGCCCAAGTCCCCTCTGTGTGGTCAAGAGTGCCCTCTGCCGACCTTGGGCAAGGCCTGCCCCCTCTCTAGAGCTGTTTCTTCATCTGTAAATAAAGGGGTCAGATGAGTGGCCTGCAGACAGACCCCTTTGATGTCAACACCTTGCCGGCCTGCTCATCCTCTCCCCACTCACTCAGTTCCCTGGGCAATGCGCCCTCCCAAGGGGGCTGCAGTCAGAGTAATTGAGACTGTGGCCTGTGGAGCAAATCCGGGTTCCAGCTGTGTGGTCTGGGGCAACCTCGAGACAGAGGACCTGCCTCACAGATGTGTTGAGCAGCTCTAAAGAGCTGATGCACGATAAAAGAATTT